GACCATTTGGACAATGCTCCTGAAATATTATTTCGATTCTGTTCCTGAGAACTTTGAGATTTTGCCCTATTGAAATGTATGCGTGGTCTTCTTTCAGAGTACTCATTGTTATTGAAAGAGCTAGGTATTGTAAGCCTGGTATGACATCAGTTGTCGTAGAAAAAGTACAGTATTTTATTCGCACATCTTCTTAATGACATTCACTGTTCTTAGTACAGATTTGTTTTTCACGTATCTATCGTTAGTATTATTGATAAAGCCTTATTCAAGGTTGATGAAGGATAACGTAAAAATATAGGCTATTCACGCCGGTTGTTCTGCTCATTTTCCATTCATTTTGTTGATATATAACAATCGTTGAAACTTTGTATATTGTGATCTCCGCTTGGAATACTCTTTATTGTTATTAATAGGTGTAGGTATAATAATTTTTTGTCCGAAAATTTTGCATGATGGATATCGTGTTTGTTATATCTCAAGTAAAAAGAATGGTTTGTTTCCATCATTTTATATTCTTGTTGATCAATTTTTTTTAATAGTTGACATATCATGCGATGTTCACGTTCTGCTTGGGAGTAACGATTATTGGAATTTTCTGTGTATTATCTCTGAGATCTTCAGACTTTGCAAATAGGTATTATCGTTGAGGTGTCTTCGCAGTATCTGGAGTTATCTGATGTCGTAGAAAGAGTATAGTATTCTATTCACGCATTTATCGTATGACGCCTATTGTTCTTAGTATTCAGTATTTTTAAGGAAGCACTATACTGGCTATTTTTATATTTTTCATTCATTTTATTGATATCTCATAATCATTGGAACTTTGTATATTGTAATATTCACTTAGCGTGCTCTGTGTTATTCACAGAAAATAGTACGACGTTTATATTATAGGAATATTAATTAAATTGAAGATTTGATAATATAGCTTTGAGTGATCAACCATTGATAACTATATTGATTTCTGATATCGTAGTCAATTAAGTCCGTGGAACTGTGTACGTGTGTTAGGTATTTTGATTCATCCGCCACTTTGCCTAGTAATAATATGTCCTAGTTACTATGTGAGTGTCTACAAACATGATCTATCACACATGGATATTGTATTCCAATATCGCAGACAAGGCAGTGTTGTGTATAAGTGTTGGATATTTTGATGTACCTTGTATATACCTACTATGTGTTAGGTTCTGCCTAATGTCAATTGCTGTATGGAAATTTTCTTAAATGATCCACTCTGTATATTTGTTTCTTTGTTCATATGAATCGTCGGTTGAATTTCACATGTTTCTCCTTTCAAAGAATGTATATCCACGTAAAATAAATCATTCTGAATAATAACATTTTTGTATGAGAGGTAACGTTCCATTTTTGTCCTATATTTTCCCTATTATTTCTATCCGAGAGGCCTTTGAGTTCTGAATTTTTCTATCACGTTATAGTGATAAACTCCAATTCTGAATTATAAGATCATGGCTGTGATATGGGATAAATATAATATATTATTTTACTTCAATAATTTCCTATGATAATGTTTTTCGGATATAATAATTATATCGCAGTAAACAGGAAATCGTTATCGGCTGGCATTGGTAGAATCATTCTTCTTTCATTCCAGTTCATTCAGTTTGATATAAGGAATATGTTTATGAAGTTATCGCCTATTTATTTTCGAATTTTTTGCATGGACAAATGAGGGGTGATTGGTTATATTTTTTGTTGAATCAATCATTCTTCATTTCTATTCATTAGTTCGATTTTCAACACTACCTGTTAGGAGCTGGGGTTTTTCCCAAGTGTCGGACTATACTCTGTTCAGTGTCATGTGCATAGTTTCAGTGAAAAGTGTCTGAAAATGGTGAATTTCTTCGCTGTTCAGGTATTTATATCCTATTTTTTCCTGTTTGCATACGGGGTAGCTCGAACTTCGTGCTTCTGAATATCTTCGGAATACTCTTGAATACCTCTGAAGACCTCTGAATACATCTGAATACTTTTGAATACCTCTGAAGACCTCTGAATACATCTGAATACTTCTGAAGGTATGATCTGAAGACCTCTGAATACATCTGAATACTTCCATAAGAAAAACGAGTTTTGCTAAAGAGTTGTTCGACATATTTCGACGTGGACGGTAAAAGGATGTTTTTACTGGGTATAGGTGTGCTGAGTTCGCCTGATGTCTAATATTATCATTATAAGTATAGAGAATTTCAAGACTCTGGCTATGTTTCTGTATATAGAAACTGCTATTCGATCGTTTGTTATCTACCTCGGTCATCTGCTGTCATGTCATCTATCATCCATTTGATTGAATTACATCGTGATTGGGTTCATGGTAGTTCGATAGTTTGTTTTTCATTATTATTTGAATGAGTGGTAATAAATTTTGAATTTTTTCTACCCCCTGTATATGTTTTTCAAATAATTCATTCGACTCGAGATTTGTGATTCATTCTGTATATGTTTCTTGAATATATATTCCACTCCACTTATTTGGCTCATCCTGTATATGTTTTTTCAGTTGACTTAGGTTTTTCTAATCGCTTTGTATATAATGATATTCGCGAAAAAGTACGTAGATCTGGGGAAAACTCTGCTTTGTTTTACGCAGTCACTTATGGGACGTAACTTGTAATTTCCGTAGAATCTAGGGAAAAATTAACTCTTTCGCTTTCTTGAAATTCGTAGGTTGTGCTAAACCTGGATATCTGTTTTCGATAAGCGTTGGAAGGTTACGTGTCATACATCTCATCTGTCGAATAGTATAAATGTCATCTGTCATACTTTAGTTGTTGAATGTCTGAATAATTCGATTTTCATTCTACAACTTCACCACCCTGTATCTCAGAAAATGGAGCCATTTCGGACTGAGTAAGTTCCTTTAATCCAACTGAATTTAATTGATCTGCCCTATACATGTTTGTATTACTATTTGAAAGCCCTGTATATTCAACGGACTCTAGCGAGTCATCTGTCATACGTTAATATGTTCGCTGGGTCCGCCTGTCAGTTCTTGCCTTCTTGTATATATTCTTATTGCTATCCAAACACCCTGTATAATGATCGGAATCGTCAAATAGCGTCATCTGTCACACTTTTGCTGAGTCCAACTTTCACTTGTTGCAACGAGTGCCCTATATAAGTTTGTATTGCTATTATTGCTGTATATCGAAGGGATACTATATCATACGTATGTTTGCTACTCCGTGAGACGCCCTATTTCTTATCGCTATTGCTAACTCAAACACCCTGTATATATTTTTATTGCTATCCAAACGCCCTGTATATATCATGTTATAGCGGGTAGCCTTTATATGTAGGTCGGACCGGTATAACGCCTTTTTGGGTTCACCCTATATTTTTTTCTCAACTATTACCCAACTCAAACACCCTGTATATAACCGTTGTTGAAAAATGGAATAAAATGCGCGCCGTTATCTCTAGAACGGATCTATCGCTTTGCTCGCCGTCGGAGCCGGATGACCTTGAAGTGGCCAAAAAATTGCAGAATGAACCTTAACTTTTCTTATGGAGATTAACATGGGAAAAGTGGTCAAATTGGTCTGGTTCTCTTGTAGCCCATTTACTCATAGGTCCTTCGAATTGTATGGATATATTTTTATTTTCGACGATAACTCGTTTTCAATGGCGAGCATATTGAAACAAACCAGTTGAGGAAAACACGAGTCTGTCAGAACGAGTGATTGTAGCCTTTTCTGTATGTTTGAATGATGAACATCAAACATTATCTAATATAAATTCAAAAAAGTTGTATTTGAACTTTTTCACCAACTTGAAAGAAAAAACAATCTATCTTCCACTAAAAAATTGTATAACATATGTCGAATAAATTGGCGGTCTTTCTTCTATGATCGATCTATATAATGACGATGTGATATCCAATGTAAAAACTTCACAAACGATGAGATTTACACAAAATTCTTAATCACGACATGTTTCGCTAACACAGTAACTTGATCAGGTGAAATAGTGGTACAATGAAAAAAAAAATAATGAAACAATATTTCGCCTGGAGAGCGCCTGTGGAAGTATTCCCAACAACATATAATCTCCAAAAGTTCAAAAAAAATTCCAATACCTACCTCCTGTCCCTATCCTCCCCCTTTCGTGCGCTCCAAGCGATAAAAAAAAAATATTGTCACAGAATGACATTTAATGGAAAAAGTTAACTTAGAGTTGAGAATGGATGGCATCATAGGCTACTTTGTTAAGCGGTTCTAGTAAAAAGTATTTATTCGAATTGATCTTGATCAATATATATGTATTTTTTTTTCAACGTGTTTTTTCGCGGAAAATCTTAACATTCTATAACATAACAATATTGCTTCGTCGTAGTCGGGATGAATGCCCATCTGACAAATTTTGATACAGCGTTCGTCTGAGCTATTGAATTTTGTATCGATTATTTGTATTCTATAAATATCAGTTGTATCTTAGAAAACGTCATTTCCATTTCAGAATAATCGATATCAATTTAGTGAATAGATATCATTTGGGAATGTTTAGGGCGTTCACGTTCGGTTCAGCCACAGTCTTCGAACACACACGAACGATGCCTTGTTTCCAAATCTGATAAATATTGAAACATATACCTTCTAGGAAAAAGGTTAATTCAGACCGAGTTAAGTTAGATTGTTTAGAAAAGTAGTCTTCTTCCTAATGCAGAAAGGATATGTTCCTTCCTTATATTAAATTTTCGGAATTCAGGGAGTCATAGAGGGAAATGATTTAGCCAGACGCTTTTGAACCAGTCATTGTGGGCATATCGACACATTGTGATACAGAGGCAACAGTGCATCCTTCGGGTATGTTCGGAGACTGTGGGCCTAACGAAATGTGGGAGAATCGAAATATAGGTTAGGATAAGATAAGAACTTACAAGACGTTTCTTCTTTCTGCGTTTTGAATGTTCTTCTATATCATGAGTTCCATAAATTGAAAAAAAAGCATGAAAATATTTTTGAATTTTTTTGTAGATTACCACCTGATTGTCACCACGATAAGAGAGAAAATCATAGATGCCACTTTGGAGACTGCCCTGCGTGCAGACAAATTTGTAATAAAAACAGAACCACGTGCCCCCACGCATGTCCCTCTTTATGTCATTCGGCTGTTCTTGTGAAAATTGAAGGACAAAAAGCTTCAATGCCTTGGGAACAAACCAAGCCACAGATCGAGAGGAAAGCGTTACCTTGTCCAAATTGTGTTGTATTGATGCCTGTAACATGCTTAGGTAAGCATAGAATAAATGAACATAATAGGAAGACAGGAACTTTTTGATACAATAATCATACTATGATGTTTCATGAATTCATCTCCACTTTAGTATTAGTATTTGCTATTCGTTTTGTCTGTTCTTGTACTGTCATGAAACAGGCATACTGCAACGTCACCTAGATACCACCACAGCATAAGGATCAAACAGCAGCGTCACACTGTTGAAATACCCAAGTATGCGCATGACATCTGTATCAACCGGCAGCTGTGTTGTGGGGATGCAGATGCAGAGTGCCAGTCAAGTAGAACGAGCTATGCGCTTGCCACCGCTCAAGGAGCAAAGCAGTGGTTCAAGGTCCTTAGAAATACACTTATTCCAATGCATGCACCGCAGATACAAGTGGCGCTGCTGTATGATCCTTATGCTGTGCCTAGACTTCCTGGGAAGAAACGGAAATTCTAGAAGAGAACGCAGTATGGAGAGTACTATCGTCTGCAAAGCTCTTCGTAGGACAAGTGGTTGATCCCAATAGATAGATTGATATGAAGTAGGAACAATGTTGGTGTCAAGATTGATCCTTGTAGAATGCCGGAATTGATCGCAATGGTATTAGACCATACTCCGTCCATACAGCGATCTGCCTGAAAGAAAACTGGATAAAAGATGGCAGCATAGTTAGGGTGGTAAGCCATATGATGGTAGCTTGTGGAGCAGTACTTGGTTCCAAACACGGTCGAATACGTTCCATATATCTAGCGCTACAGCTAAAGATTCTCCAAGTTTTTCTAGTGATGTTTGCCATATAAGGGTGACGTAGGAGAGTATATCTTCAGTTGATCTTCGGTGGCGAAAGCCATATTGTCTATCATTAATGATTTCACCATCACTTCGGAGATGACCGATAACAGGGCAATTGGCCTATAGTTGTAGTGCAGGCGCTTGTTTCCTTTTTGGCGATTGGTTGGACTCTAGCTATTTTCCAGCAAGATGGAAAAATACTCGACTAGTAGGAGATGGTAAATAGCTCGCAGAAAATCTGTGTCAATTCTGGTGCACTAATTGAACATTATAGGGATTTCCTTTCGTGCGCTCCAAGCGATAAAAAAAATCCATCAGGACCTATCCCTTTTGAGATCGAGCAGAATGCGTCTGATGGTGCGTTGACGAAAAACAATTTCGGGCATTCGACTTTCAACGGGTGGATGCTTCTCTAACGGTATTGAAGATATCTAGTTGTTTTTTTTTTTCATAATTCGACTGGTAATTTCAATGAAACATACGATTTGGGTAATTACACAGCTTATTTTTTTCAAAATGGTGAAACTTGTAGTTACAATAATTGTTGAGAACTCATCTGAAAAAATAATATTCATCCTTTTCTCTCTAAGAATGCCTCCTATTATCTGATTTATCCCGTTTTTCGTAAATTCTGCTATCCTGTATGTCGAAAACTACGGGTCTTCAAAGAAAAGTATGAGGATCCTATTTCCTCATTTCCTGTAAGAAATGTGTCGTAAATTACGAGTATTTCTATACCAACAATGAAACACTCTGTACTCTCGAATAGCAGCAGCAAAAAATATAGAGATGGAGATAACATTTTGGGCAAAACATCCTTTTTCGCCCTAAGTTCTATGCTGTTGCAATTCTGGCGTATCCTTCAAATTTCCTTACAAAAGGCACAATCACACGGATTTCTCTCTATCTCAATTATATTGTAGAAGCTTACTTTTTCCATTTTTTGTTTTTACTCAGAAAACTCCGAATAATTTGAGAATAATGTTAGACTGTATTATATTGATGTATTCAATAATGCATGTACTATTTTTGAAATCGTCCCGTATCAACATATTTATATTGCATGTAACTCTTTCATGAATTTCCCTCTACTGAAAATACTCCTGAATATAGTCATATTTATAGAAAATATAATCTCAAGTGAAAATTATTATATAGAAGTGACTGACTATTAAATACAACAAGAATATATTCAATATATTATTTTTCCCTTCTACTGATTCCAATATTTTTGTTAAAGGAGAACATGAAACAAATGATTGGCCCTGCTACTTAGCAAAACCATCAAGTTGTCATCGCCCATGTGGAAGAATTTTAGAATGCGGTAATCACAGTTGCAGTTTGCCTTGTCATTTTGTTGAAGAAGCACGTGATGGAACCAAGGTAAAAAATAATCATGATGATAATACGAATGTTTAATCAAATGATGATAGAATCAGCCTACATACATTAAACAAGTAGGTGCCAAGTATGAAAATCCTTTGATCTCTGAAAATTACCGCCAATGTCCTTCAACTACCTAATATAAATAGTTCTGAGATGGTGCTTCCTAGTAGAGTGCCAAACGTATCGTAAGTCGCTTATATCGAAAGTTGGTGGGGAATCCGAGGTTGAAAGCTGTAACACGGCTAGAATGATTACCTAGCACCTCCAGATTATGGATTCACCTGCAGTTGAAAAATCGTCCTGTGCGCTTGGGGGGATAGGAGCTACTTTACAAAAATATATGGATTTTTTTATTCACGGACAATATTTATGGGTTTCGGTACTCCCACCCTGTCAAATCCTAATTTCTTTAGGCAAGGCGAACAAGCTATGAAATTTGGAAATCCACCAAGTACGTTTGATATATGAGGAAATTATATTTCATATGGCTTCAACTCCAAACTAGCGAATTTACAATAATTTTTTTTCCATATAAACTACAACGTTTATAAAAATACTTTGATTCCAAAAATCGAACTATCAATAAGGAATATATTGGGAAAATCATAAACCAATACAGGTACCAAGGTACCTATTTGTGGAAGAGATGACCAGTTCTTCGTAGTACGCAGTATTATCGATAAAAATATTCGAAACCGGTGGAACCGAAAGTGGAAAATAAAACATTTATTTACGACTAATATACGGGGTGGGCCACCAGTAACGCCTCGGTCTCTAGAAGGCTAACCACTTATCTTCTTGGAATTCTTCCTCTCTAGGAAGTTGCATGTCAACATAGGCTACCATTTAAAATTATTTCGAAACATACAGGGTGTCCCCAAAAACCATAAAACACTGAAGTTGAACTTTTTTCTATCTAACACCCTATTATATATTATTTCATTTTGAGATTCTCCCTGATGAGCTGATTTCAACGACCCATCATACTTGGGGTCTAGCAGTTATAATTACTGAAATATAGGGTGTGAAAAATCGAGATTTTTCAAGTTCAAGAATTTTTTGTGTCGAAACTATTCATTATTGGTCAAAACGGCTTACATGTCCCTATCTCAACTTTTGATTAACTATCTACTGATATTTAATTGGGACATATACCGGGTGATCAAGATTCTGAATTCTGCACCACCCTGTATTTGTTTCAATTAAATGTCAGTAGATAGTTGATCAAAAGTTGAGATAGGAACATGTGAGCCGTTTTGACCAATTATGAATGGTTTAGACACAAAAAATTCTTGAACTTGGAAAATCTCGATTTTTCACACCCTATATTTCAGTAATTATAACTGCTAGACCCCAAGTATGATGGATTTTTGAAATCAGCTCACCAGGGAGAATCTCAAAATGAAATAATATATAGGGTGTTCGATTGAAAAAAATTCAACTTCAGTGTTTTGTGATTTTTGGGAACATCCTGTATGTTTCAAAATAATTTCATATGGTAGCCTATGTTGACATGCAACTTCCTAGAGAGGAAGAATTCCAAGAAGATAAGTGGTTAGCCTTCTAGAGACCGAGGCGTTACTGGTGGCCCACCCTGTATAATATAAGTATTATACTTGTGGTTTTTGAAGTATAATGCCATATATTAATCCCTTAGGGAATAATGGCGAGGGATTAATAGTATTTTTTCTGTGACGGGAAAAAAGTTTGGCATTTCATCTCTATTGGCAGGGTATAAAATGTCACTTTTCATAAATTACTTTTTTCCCGTGGGAAAAAAGTGAGTACTTTTTTCCCGGATATATATCACATATATATACACTGTTGATGGCTTTTGTTGTGCTATAGTTCCGAAAAATGAGTCAATAATACCGTCTCCGAGAAAGAACTGCAAGTCCTTTTATCTTCCATTCGACTTCGCGGTTACGTATAATACTAAACAACCACTAAATTCGCAATTTTTTGAAATCAAATCACAGAATTAGACTGACAGAAGTGACATCAGATATTTGATTACTTCAAAAGAATGATAAAGATGCCTCCAACGCAGGTGTCCTTACTGGTAAAAACTTAAAATTTCACGTCGATAATTTTCAGATTTCAAAATAATGTAATATCTTCTCAATATTGATTCTTCCTTCCTCCTGCCACAGAAAAAAAGCTACGCGTCGGGAGACAACACAACCTGGAGCAAAAATCTAGTACTTTTTTTCCCTTGTATAATAAATAACTATTATTCCCTCTTGTACTCCTATCACAAAATTTCTCGAATTAGATAATACCATGGAAACAATATAACCGAACTCAAAAGTGTCAGTGTCAAACGCGTAGTGTTTGTGTATTTGTATTAAAATGAATGAAAATGAAGAATCTTTCACTTGTACACCACCAGAATTGTACAATTCTTTCTAAATTATCAAAAATCGAAATGTACAATACAACGTATAGGAAAAAACAAATATGCAGACATTGGTAGACAAATTGCCAAATATTTAAACTTGCCAAATCCTCAAAGTTATACCGGCCATTGTTATCGCAGATCATCTGCCACTCTGTACATTGATGGAGGAGGCGATATAACTGGATTGAAGCGTCATGGGGGCTGGAAATCTACCCAAGTAGCTGAAGGATACATTGATCAGTCTATGAGAAACAAAACAACTACAGCAGATACTATTGCCAAACAGATAAATAGTAATGAAGCAATTTCTTCTTTTACAGCAACCGAAATTCCAAATATTCGTGTTGAAAACTCTTCCAAAGTTGATCATAATTTACGACCAATTCAGTTTATTAATTGTACTGTCACTAATTTAAATGTTATTGACAAATAAAGTTGTTCATTGAAAATCTAAAATAAATGTTATTGACAAATAAAGTTGTTCATTGAAAATCTAAAATAAATAAATTTGTCGTAAATAAAATAGAGTATACTACTCGCAATAATGGCTATTATTCTCTCGGAATGTTACTCCCTCGCCGCTAACGCGGCTCGGTTCGTAAAAATTCCTCGAGAATAATAGCTATCATTAATGACTCGTGGTATAATCTACTATTATATGACAGAACGTGACGTTTATCAAATTGATGAGTCATTCCAAATTTCAATGCACTTATCTCGAAAACTAAAAGAGAAAAAGGGGGTGTACCATGATCATATTACACATCATAAAATACATCGTAACAACTCTTGAGTTATGTTGGTATATTTTGTTTGAGCCCATGTACTATCATCGTTTAGGCACACTGTCGATCTACCCAAGGGTCTACCTCATTAGCATTTTATGACTTGATTCAAGTGTTTTGGGTTCATTCATTTAGCAAGAACTTGAGCAGTATCAGTAAAGTTTACCAATCATTTTCATATTGATTATGATAGAATGGCAAAGGCTATATTTATCATAGTAGAGATTCAGGATATTGAAGAATTGCAAAACTATATCTATATTATTCATGTATGAAAAACATTCTTTCTATTTTCTTGATATTTGATAAGTTTTATTGACATTATTCTGTATCTCGAAAAACTACGGCACTTCTTTTTATTTTCTTGGGAGAAATATATGCTTGAAATTTGTCACAATGTTATGTAAAACCGTGCAGATTTTGTTGGGAATAAAATCAATCAATGACGTGCATCGAAGAATGCACTCTACGAATCATATTATTCAATTTCTTGTTTTAATTCGACAAAACAGTTTCAATGACTCTGACAATATTAAATTCATTCTGATACCTCATGTCTATGAGCTTTTATGTCACAAGCTCCCATACTTCCATATTTTAAAATTAATGATATCGAACCAAATTATAGAATAAATTTTCGCTACTCACCCTACCTGATACACCATACCAGGAAGAGATATAATAAAAGGATGTAGGTATAGAAAACTACCTTTCGTCACGGTCGTGCTGGGTAATAAAGATAGATATAGCAGTCCGTGGGCATAAGCAAATATTTCGATGAATCATCACACGAGTCGTTACGATTTATTTAGTCAGCAGGGTACATTTTCAAATTATTTTATGTAATTCAACCTAATTGGAAAAAGCGAACAATTCAATTTTTTAAGTGAATTTCAAGATTCTATTCCAATAAATAGAGAAAATAGAGGCTGCTATATTCTACATCATTCAGTAATAATTTATATTTATGTTCATCTTACTAGGACAGCCGCGGTCATTGCGGGGATAATTGGAATATGAAAGCGGCGAAACGCGTCATCCGTAGTACCTGAATTGGATTATGATTTTCCCAATATTTTCCTTATTTATGCTTCATTTTCAAATTCAAAAAACCATTCGCATCTTGGAACATGGGCGCATCGACATTATTGCGAGTGTTTTTTTATAAACGTTATATTTTCTGAGATTATGCCAGGTATATGAAAAACAATTTGATAAAAATACACAAGTTTTCAAGTTACAGCCGTTTGAATTCGAAATATAATTTCCTCATATTATATCATAATGTAATCGGTGGATTTCAAAATTTTATAAAATTTTATTCAACATGTCTTACAAAATTGAGATTTGACAGGCTGGAAGTACTGAAATCCGTTGATATTTTTCGCCAAAAAATTCATATTTTTTTAAGCTACCCCCTTTCGATTCGAAGGCTCAGTGCTATTCAAAGGCAAGCTTGCCTGAGTGCCACTGGTGCAATGAAAACCACTCCAACAGCCGCTTTAGAGGTCCTCTTGAACCTACCACCACTACAAATATATATTCAAGGCGAAGCCAGAGCAGTCGTGAGTAGATTGTCAAGGGGTCAAGCACCCATAAGCAACGCGCACGGTAAAGACTATAGAAAGCTATATGAAGAGTTGGAAAGCGACCCCATCATGGGAATGCCAACGGATGGCATAATTCCAAAATATAGCTTTGAAAAAACTTTTAAAATAAGTATAACGGACAGAGAGGCATGGAAGGAAGGACCTCCTATCAATGCAGACATTGCTGTCTATACGGACGGCTCCAAAACTGAGTTTGGATCA